TAGCATGTTTTCCAAATTACACGGTACGCACTCATTTGAAAATAAGAAAACTCATTTGATAATATAAAACCTTTGTAAGCAAATTCAATTTGCTTCAGAAGCATATTAAATAAGGCTACGGATTCTGATAAAACTACTTTGAAGAATGGGAGAAGAATAAATTTAATTACGTGTGATATGAGAGAAAAGGAAACCGGGTCGGACCCATATTGGCACTGAAGTTATGCGCGATATGTGAAGAATTATTAGAGGGACTGATTAAATCAGAACATAGAAGGATTCATATAATTGTATGTATTTAAAAATTAACAAAAAAATATGAATTATTTGTTAAATTCAAGAACTACTGAAAGTATTACTCGGGACATGTAAATGAAATAATTATATGTGGCCGGTATAGAAAAGTGATTTTTAACGATAGCACTAGGTGACATAAATATCCAAATTGGTGCTTACTATGGAGATAATATTTTTTAATTAGTTCTTAAGAACTCTAATTATAATAACGATAAACAAATCGTGATTTAGAATTATAGACCTTGAACCTAAAAATAAAAAGTACGTCGACGATCTAAAATTAACTATCAAACTTACATACTTAAATAATCAAAATACATCTTTTATATGATTGCATTTTATAGAAATCAATACGATATAATATCAAATACGCAGCACATATATGTACTAAGAACTGATTAAATAATTAATAATTATTATGATTCAAGATATATGTACTCACCAGGAAAGGGAACATAAAAGTTTGATTACCCAAATATATCTCAATACCAATTTCAATAGCAGTTTGAAAACAAATTGAGTTATTAAATGGTGGTTCTTCTAAGAAATAATAAATTGCTCCAGAAATGCTCTCATTCCCGGAAGCCGGATATCTTGCGCGGCATCTCCGCTAGAACTTCCTTAAAAAATAATCTTGTAAAATATAAATTGAAACTTTCAATTGAATCTTGCAAAAAATATATATTGACAGAGCCTTAAGTTATTGATCAAATTCTTAGAATAATTTAATTCATAAGTTTCATTTTATTATATGCCGTTTTAATAAGTGGACATAAAATTTCACATAATAACTCGGTATACCATATTATTGAGCTGTTCGCAAAGTTAATTCACTTTTTAGTCGTCAATGGAGATTAAACATTTAATCATGTAACGAATTAGTAATTAAGTTATTCAAAACTTAATTTTAAAAAGTTAACGCGTATCATCATCCATCGCACGTGTCTTTTCTTTCATCAGTCACCGGAAACGTCTAAAATGGTTATTATTTTATTTTATATATTTAAGAAGTTATGTATCTCTTCACTTATTAATAATAAATAAAACATTTAATAAATACCAAGCGCATCAGTTTATTTCAAAACCTGCATCAATACAAAGAAAGCACACTTACACAGTTGGTTGAAATATTTTTTATTACAAATCAGCTAACTTTGATAATAAATATTAATTATTACTTAAAAATATTCAGTACTAAAATATTAGTTATACCATCATGTTAATTTATATTTCTGATTCAAAATATTAACTATTAAATACTGATTTCATCAAGCTTAATTCATCTTTCTAGTATAAAATATATATTCTATAGCATAATTATAATGATGCATATGTAATAAAATAGATTGAAAATAATTTCAGTTGCCCAAAGACTGATACGAAGAATATAAGATTAACAAGCAAGTTGATCTCTCATTATAACATCTCAAAAATTAACTTATTACTTTCTTGTAAAATAAATGAGATTATTATATTAGTTAGATTTTTATTGATCTATATGAGCGTACAATATTTTGCCATGCATATTTTTCCATTTTTTTAGTTTCAGAAAATAATTGTATAAGAATATTTTTGTTTTAAATTCAAATATATGGATTATATAACATAAAAGTTCATTAAAAAATAGCATCAAGTATGCTCTATTAAACTAAGTCAATTAAAAATAAAACGAAAATTGCACAATTTTTTGATATATAAATTTCATGCAGTATGAAAATTTGACCACGATTCATGCATTTTATGTTGTCGGGTTGTGAGGGATTTTAAATATTAAAAAGCATTTGTTATTCTATTACTGTTAGGTGTCATATAATTGAACACTTGCTTGTTTATGATATTTTAAATTAAATAGTTTATAAAATTACAATGTCGCTATTTTTGTCATCACAACACAGAAATTTGTTACTGAATGCAATGATAACTAGTTACTTTCCCTAACTAATATCAGCATTTGATGTCATTTCACAAAATTCTGTTTTAGAAACTTCATTGTTATTTTAAAAACTAAACTAACTAAACTAATTTAAAAATGGTAATTAACTGTGAGCATTGCACAAGATAAATGTGGAAAAAAGTTATTTTTTAATGTTTCACTTTCTAAGTCCCGCCTGCTGATAAATTTGTGATGTGGTAATGTATCATAAAGCTATCAAAATATACAATTAGTTAAATATTAATATTGTTATGCTAATAATAAGTTGTTATGTTATTATATCAGATATAAATTAAATTATTCTTATTTTGCTTTAAGCATCAATAGTACTATCAAATTAATATTTAATGAAATCTTTTTAAAATATATTAGAAGATCTTAAAACAATTTCAATATAAAATCTAAGCATTGAAATTAAATACAATTAAATCTAGGAATGTGATATTATGTACAAAATTATATCATTTAATTAACTAGCATTCTAAATCATTGGTGCGTATTGGGTATAAAGTTCATTGTAGCGACCTCACTAACTTCCTGCCTGACTGAAACGAGATGTAAACAAAAAAAATATATAAATGGATACAATATATATATATATATATATATATATATATATATATAGTTATATATTTATAATACAGTTGGAGATCTCCGAAGATATGACTCTTCTCATAGTCACATTCAGGTAAATCAAACTTTAATTAGTTTATATATATAAATGTTTATATATAAACATACTATAATAACAAAATTATGCTATTCTCAGTTAAAAGATAAAATTAAAATAATTGGGAAATTAAAATGAATTATCACACAAACACCAAAAGCAGAAAGATAAATCTAAAGAAGCTAGATTGCTAACTACAAGCACTCAATAATAAATACTGATGCTTACTAAACAAAAATAATTCTTTCTATAAAGTTGTAGAAACTATAAAATAAAAATAATAGTTTCGTATACAAATAAATTAAAAGGCTGACAAATAAAAGTAATAATAAAAGTGTATTTCTGCACTTTACAAAACCTTGATACAGTAACAAAAAATTATTAGTGTTCTTATTAATGTGATACTTTATGCTTCAAAAATTAAATATTTATACAATAATTATTATCTATTGAATTTTTTTTCTTATATATTAATATTGAATATTAGCAGACCTTTATTATGAGTCGATCAATTTTAATAATATTGCCATATATTTTCTATTGTACGGAATTTTTTATGAAGCTAAATATTTCAACATTTTCTTGTATTTTCTATTACATTTCATCAATATTTTCAAAGAGGTTATTAAAAAACTTAATTAAATAATAAAGATATATAATTCATAGCTGAAATAAAATAACCCAACAAATAGAAGTACATAAATTTGTAAAGCTTAATCATTGCAAAGCATGTTTCATATTTTCAAGGCTTAGCAAAATATTTTAAATCATAAAGGATTCATTGAACGTATAATATAAAATAAATGATTATAAAAGGCTTTTGAAATAAAAATTTTATGGAAACAATAAATTCATGATTGAATAAATGCGAGTGTATAAACACTTTCATTAAAATTTTTCTAAAAAATATTATTCTTGACAATTTCATCAACTAATTCAAAGTTTATATTTTTTCTGTTTTTGATAATTTTTTTGAAATAAATTAATTTTATGACAAAGTCATTCTATGTAATTAAATACGTTTTAATATACAATTATTATCAACTAGGCGTAGTTTCTAAAATAGCTTTTTCCATAACATCAAACACTCTGCACAAAACTCTGAATATTTGAAATATTTTATCAAAAATATAATAACATGAAGATCAATCTTCGTCAAGCTCTTCTAATATTTATAAAATATTCCAGATAATTCGTATAAAATAATTCTTCCACATTCAACAGCCAATCTGATCGATATGTATTATTAAATATTACACAAAATAAATTTAGCATCTTCGTTATCTTATTGTTATTGCATCCTAAATTATACTTTTTCGACCGTTTCTAAAATATTGAAACATTGCTTTGATCATTTCATAAGACACAGAATGTATGATTCACAATTTGAATTTTATTTCTTAATATCATTAACTCATTGTCAGCTAAAAAGTGGTTCCATAGCAATTTTTAAATAATAAGTCGTCAAATAGTAAAATTTTCGATTTGAAAATAATAAATGATATTAAAACTTTGAAGGCTTAATACCTAAACACAATGATCAAATGTTAACTAAGCACTTTTGGAATGTATAATAACAATTAGTTAACATTTATAAAATATTAGCACAATTTTGGAACAGTAAAAATAAATAGAAATGAAACCAAGAACATAAATATAAATAAATAAGTAATATAATTAGAAGGTTATTGCACAAACAAAGACTAAGTCTAATCTACTAATAAAAGACAAACATAATGTTTCAATATTTAAGAACAGGTACATATAAGCCACTTTTTTTCACAATAATCAACAAGGCTATCATATCAACAACCTTTAATCTAAGTTATATCGAATTTAATACCTATGTAAAATTAGTTTTAACAATTTTCTCTTTATTAAATAAAAAAATCCAAATAGAAAAAAAGCTGACATACAAACAGCGATTGAATAAAAAGCGAAGTTTGAAAACAATTTTCTTAAGACATAAAATTTGCAAGTATGCGGTATAAATAAATAATTATAAATACACATTGAAATTAAAATCACATAAATAAAGCAAAAGTAAAATATTTCAAAAATATTTTAAGCACCATAATCATTGCACAAATAGAATATTCTTTGAAACCGAATAAAAGACGCTTACCCTATCAAAATAAATAATTATCACACTTCATCAAGTGCCTTCATTAAAAGAAAAAAATTGATTGCACTCTAATATGTAGTAAAATTTGAAAAGTAATTTTAACCACAAAACATATTTCAAGGAACGTTGATGTTTCTGTAGCTCGTTATAAAATTGAAATTAAAAATCACTGTTCCTATGTCAATTCCTTTTCCGGTACGGACCGAAATTTTAGCCAAAAATGTACAATCTATAGATTCATAATATATAAGTTATCGTTGAATAATAATAATTTGTTCAATGATGAGAAGGTGAACTGATGCCCAGGGCGTTGAACAATTTAGTTTTCAGTCCAGACTGCGCAGGCGATTGTCCTTGGCCGGCCTTCATTTCAAAATACGATACGAAACAAAAATTAAAACACATAAGGTAAGCATACCAAAATACATTAATTAAATAACTAAATTAATAAACAAGTATTGTAACAAGCAAATAGAATAATAATCAGAGCTCGCTGGTGAGTTAGAATTGAAGAGTAAAAAGCAGAATAAAAAAGCTATAATAAAAAATAAAGCAACGATATATAAAAGTTCATATAATATAAATTTATCAAGTCAATTAATGATAGATTAGATACCCACTGATGAGTAGAAATAAAACAATTTGAGTAAGAAAATTCCGCAATAATACTTTAAGAATCTAAACATCGAAAAATAGTTCATACTTAATGTAAAATGCATTAAGCAGACTTAAAATTCATGCATAATAAGACGAACGAACGAATACACTTCACAGAGTGCTCAACATTTAAAAAAAAAAAAGAAGAAGTAGATATAACAAATAGGGGCTAAAATGAAACTTAAATAGATTTCAAATTTGTGAACAATAATCTAAACTAGAATTAACACACTAATCTACTTCGATTAGTTTTTGGATTACTACTAGATCACCTTTTCTCAGTATTTACATGACTTTCAAGAACAAATCTATCAACAATAAAGATATTATGACAGATTTATGCAATACATGCAACATAATGTATCTAAAATCTTTGTCACAATTTATTTTTAGCAATAAATTTATTCTTAAAGTAATGTAAATTTCGGAAAAGGCATATAAGAACTATTATCTAATACCTCCAACCTCTTTCATTAGCACATACATTCAGTATAATTCTAGTAGTGTAATTCTTTATAAACTTACATCTTCGGAGTGATCGTAGTCTAAACTTTCACGGGAACCCGCTTGCCCACGCATTGCGTTGTTTCTGATTCCTGAAGTGGGCCGTCCAGATCCACGTCGCTCACCAGGCGAACCGTCAGCACCTTGGCCACCTAAGATCTGTGCTACTTTCGCTTGTTTTATTACGTCTAAGGCCTGCTATAAGAGTAATAAAAATGTGAAAACAGAATTTCCTTCACTATCATAAGAAATCATAAAATTAGCAAGTCAGGTTTTTTTGTGAAAACAAACTTTTCCTATGAAAAATTTGAAATTATATCCAACAATCCTAGTAAATGAATTTACTAGTGTGCTTTACCTCTTTTCTTGTTCTCAAGGCGCAATCTTCTAAAGTTTCAGCAGCTTCATATTTTCCCTGCCTGCGATACAAAGCACCAAGATTCTTCAAAGTAGTGGTAACTGTTGGAGAATCAACTCGTGCAGCCTTGTGCCAGCCACCGTATTCACCGTATGGAGCATTTTCGCGAGATTTCAATTTATTCTCTTCACGTTCCTCTGCTACTTGCCAAATTGGTTTATTATCACCTACAAAAAAAAATTAAATTGTTATTAAAATAAATAGTCACAAAGTATCCAAGATAGTCTATTCTAAAAAAATAAAACATATGTACATATGACCATTTTTGACTGACCTAATTTGAATAAATTATTGAAAAAAAAATTCTCACAACTTCGTAATATAAGTTTAAAATAAAATTCAAAACAATTTGCCATTTTTTAGTTTCAATAGTCATATCAATATTATTGTATTGTTATGTCAATATATTACAAATTATTAATTATCTCACCATCTATTGTGCCGAATTCCCTTTCATGTGCCCTGGTCAATACTTGCTTGTATAATGTTTCAGCATCCTTGTATTTGGCTTGTTTTAGATAGCATGAAGCCAAATTATTTTTAGTTTTAGCTACGTTAGAGTCATCTGGACCCAATTTCAGTTCATAGATCTCTAAAGCACGCTGATAATAACGTTCAACTTCCTCATATTTACCCTGCATGATATTTGCATTATAGTTCAACTGCAACTAATTATTCACTTAGAAGAGGGAATCTTGCGCATAATTCTCATAATGGACTGTATGTATATTTTTTAACATATTAAAAATATAATAGCATTAGTTACAATCGTTAATTGACAATGAATTTTAAATGCAAAAACTAAAAACATTCAGAGCATGTAGAACTAGAACAATCTATTACAAAGATTTGTTAATAAAATTTTTATATTGAACATTGCATATGCAACTATTAAAAAAGCATGCAAGATTCCCACCTAAGTGATAGTACATACTTTATATTTGTTACTATCAACAACAATCATTCGAATTTTGACCATTGAAAACTTTACATGATTATCTGCCATTCAGATTCTAATAATAAATGTAGAAATCTAAAAAAGTTAAATCAGTTAATGAATAAATTATGTGTATCTACAGATTAGGTATAAAAGAAAAACCATAGTTTTGAATTTTTCTAATAATGTTAATTCAAATAATGTAGTTTTTAGCCACAATCATATATTATATAAAAACAATCTAAACATTTAAAACATATATGATGTATTTCATATTATCCACCATTTGTACCTGATTTTGGCAAAGCAGTGCCAAGTTATTCAATTGTTTAGCTACATCAGGATGATCCCTACCCAAAACCTTCTCACGAATCTCAAGTGCTCTTTTGCATAATGGTTCTGCATCCTTATATTTGCCGCGTTTTCCATAAAGCACAGCCAAGTTATTTAATGTTGCTGCAACAGCTGGGTGATTTTCACCTGCATTAAGCAATCAAAATTATGTTAATAAAACTTATATCAATCTCATTTCTTATAAGCCTGAAATTCATATAATTACCTAATGTCTTTTCTCTGATAGCTAGAGCATCATTCAACAAATTTGCAGCCTCCTTGTATTTGTTTTGATCTCTATACACCAACGCCAGAATATTTAACATGGTTGCTACGTCAGGATGATCATGTCCTGATGTCTTTTCTAAGTCTTCTAATGCTTGTTTGCATAGGGGAACAGCCACCTTTGTGAGATAAAAAGATTGAAATTATTTAATATTTGAATCTTGATTATTTTAAGATAACTATTTTCTACATTGAAAATAAAACGTTTTATGAGCAAAACCCAAAGATTTATGAAGATGTTATACTTAATAATAAAATAAAATTTAATTGAGTGTAATATATGAAAAATTACAATTTATTTTGTGTATCTTTATATTAAAAGAATCAGATTCTGATATAAACCTCATAACGTCCTTGAGATGCATATTGAATAACCAAGTTGTGCAAAGTTCTTAATCTTGCAGGAATTTCATAACCTGCTGTGACTTGGTTAGCAAACTGGGAAGGTGGAGTAGGAGACATTGTACCTAAATAAAGAAATGCAAATGATAGTAATATTTGATAGAAAATAATAATAGACAAACACATTTTGTGAATAAAAATTATAATTATAATTACCTCGTTCCTCTTGGTCATCATCAGGGAATAAATCAACAACAGGATCTTGATCCCTGTGGCTTTTGTCTCTGTTATTACCATCTTCATCCTGATTCGAGTCAGCGCTATCATATTGGCGCACTGAAGCCATGAAGTCCAAATGCTTCTTTTCTTCCTCCAAAGTGGCAACTGCTTGTTCTGACGACTGCAAAACTCAATTGATTAATACAAGTTCCAATTTAGACCGAATTATTAAGTAATTAGTAAGAAACCTGTAATTTTTGCTGGGTGTTGGCTAATTCATCTCTCAACCAGGCATTTTCTTGGCATAATCTTCGTACTTGTGTGCGCAATTTTTGCTTCTCTGCTTCAACCGCTTGTAAATGTGATGCAAGCGCCATCATAACCTAAATAACAATAAAATGTTAAATTTGCTTTAAAAGATAAGTAAAAAAATATTATATTAAATATAAAAAATCTCTGTGCTTTTCCCACCTGAGCTTCTCCCAAGCCCAGCTCAATCGCCTCAATACTTTTGCGTACGATCCTATCTCGCTCACGGTCGCTGCCTTCTTCAACGGCACCTTCGGCTGTGGCAGCTGCTGCTGCAGCAGCGAGAGCAGCAGCATGTTCGCAACGTAATGCCTCCAATCCTTGCAGAACGGCACGGGTGCCTTGCAGGATCTCCTCCTGCGACATTTGCGTCATTTTGCCGAGTGCTTCGATCTTGCGCCTGAAGAAACAGATAATGGTGATATAGAAGCAATCAATGGTAAACTACTAATACAATTATGATATGAAATGGAATGTTTATTGGGTTCGTCTGATGCAATGATGGGTTTGTTCCCTCTGAGCTCAAAGTGATGAAAACTGATCAAAGTTGACGGTTTGGAACTGTTTGGATCAATCTGCGCATACACTTGATTATGATGACGAATAATGACACGCAATTAAACTCAAATGAAATGTTAACCTATGGAAAGCACTAAGCTCAATTCAACGTACGAAAAATTGTTCCTATTTTAATAGTTCCTAACATATTATACTATAATATCATCTGGCTAATGTAGAGAAATTGTAAGCAATATAAATATGCTAGTCAAAACCAGCGCATTGAATATAGTATTTTTGTTTCTCAACAAAACTATAGTACTTGATATCGATCAAGTCTTGTTTTCCATTCGCAGTTATTATTCGAATCAAAACCAATTAATAAAAATTATGCCGGAACACATGAAGACAATATATAAAAATATTATGCATGGCAATTAAAGGCGGCATTAATAAAATAAAACTTACATAACATAGTACGATGTGACGATATTTTTACTGTGCAATTATATGTAAAAGAAATGGGGTATGGGCGTGTTTCCATACAGAATCGGCCCCACCCTGGTATTTAAATAATTTTGATTCCAATATATAGCTCTTTTTAAAATAATACGATATATCAATTTTCAACTCCCTATCTCATCATTTGGTGAAGATATCAGATATCAGTGAAAACAAGTAAAAGTGGCCCCCTTTTTCAAACTCACTTTTTGTCGGAAATATGAGAGATATCGGAAAAATATTAACGTGATTCTATTCACACTGATCTTGTCTATATTATTCATAACAAATGATGTGAAAAAAATATTTGTTAGTCGATCAAATGATAAAAATAATTATTCATTTTACATTTCCTACTAGTGCGGCGCTTTGGACTACTTCTAAATTAGCAGCATTCGAAAGCCTGTACATTTTTTTTCTGTTATTCAAAATTTCATTCAAATCATCATTCATTTCATTAAAATTGAAGATCGAATTTCGAAAGAAACTCATTTTATTTATTTCATTAAGGTACTAAAATGATTTTATATCAGAAACTCACTGTTAATTTTACAACAAAAAGTTAATTTTACTAAATTGAAAATATGAAAGATATATAAACATTGTCTTATGGATGTACTTATTGGATAATGAAAGTGCATACGCCGTTGTTCTACTTGTTAAATTGAAATTAATTATATAAATACTAGTTGAGAATCTTATAATCAGTCGGCGTTAGTACAAACGCAGACAATTGATACTTGTTTCATCATGATCATGATACAATTATTAAAGATTTCTTACTGAGATTTATATACAGTTGAAAATTTAAAAACCACATATAAGAAATGAAATTATTTACATTTTTTAATTCAATTTTAAATATAGTAGGTTGATATAATTATAAGTAATTATGACTGTTTTTTCAGAACTTATAGTATCAAGTTTGTAACTACTATAACTAAACTACTATTTTTATCAAATTTAGAATTTTAGAACCGTAATTATAATAATTAGTTGATTTAAAAGTCAATAACAATTTTTAAATAAATGTTTATAAATGTAGAGCAAACTATAAAGTGCATAGAATCGAGCAACAATTAAACATACATTTTATCAATGTATAAGGAAATAATTTAGTAAAGATTGGATTGAAATTTATTTATTGTTGAGTAAACGACAATATTTTTGTAAAATTTAATTATATTAAATTTTTAATATTTTCTAATATATAATTTATATATTATATCGTAAACGCACCCAGAAATTATTAAAAACCATACAATATAACATATTGTAAAATCAAAATACTATCTGAAAATTTAAGAACTATTTATAAATAAATTATTAAAAAATTGAAAACTGTATAATAATATTAAATAGTATTTATTATTATTATACAGTTTCCATTTTTCCAATAATATTTTAGCATTTCAGTAAATAAGAAATAGGTCACAGCATTTGCACTATAGATCGATTCTACGGTGTTGCTCTAGTTTACGAATACTTTCCCAATAGTTTTTGCTTGCTTTTTTATTAAGTAATAGTGCCTAAATATACAAAGTATGAAATAACACACCACACACACACACACACACACACACACATATATATATATATATATATATATATATATATATATATGCGTCAAAGACTTCTGTAAACATATTTAAATTTATTAACATAAAGTGTAAACATGAAGTGCTAAAAAATATTATTAACCGCTCTTTATATAATAACTCATCAAACATTTCATTCAAATTCATAACATTTGATGGTACGATTTTAATACGTAAATAAATGTAAATGATGCAAAGTATAAGTAATAAATAATAAATAAGTAATAAAAATAATTTTTGAAAAAAAAAATTTTTTTTTATTTTGACATATTTTGGAAGATCTGAACTTTTTTTCAACAATAGTACTGCTTTAACTGCATAAAGACAAAATATGAAGCGCGTAAGCGCCGCGTCGCTGTCTAACGGATAAACATTAGTACGGAACCCATAGGAATGTAAACAAAATTTATTCTTGTTGTTAAAATCTCTATAAAATATCTGATAATTTGATGTGCATATGTCTAATGATCATTTTTGACAGCCAAATGGCATTTTTTTTTTACTTTTTTCGTTAGATCTCCGAAACCGCTATATCTGCCCTTATGAAAATTTGATCAATTCTTCATCTTGTCAATACAAGTAAAATGTTTTTTGAATTATTAAAATCGAACGCTCCGTTCTCTTAAAAACTGTACCGTTTTTGGCACTTTTTGCCCCATATTTTCGGAACGGCTAGAACTGCCTCCGCCAAAAACTAATCAGCACGTCTCCTTATCAGTACGAATCGAATGTTTTTTGAATTATTCAAATTGCTTCATTCGTGTTCCCGAAATTGTCGACGAAAATTTGTATTCGCACACACATACATACACGCACACACACACACATACATCCATTTTTTCTAAGGTATGCCAAAATATTCAGAAACCTCTGAAACGTAAAGATATATAAAAATTTTCATTTTCGATTTTTTTGTGATTACTATAACTTACCCTACGGGAAGTTAAAAATGTAAGATTGGCGATAAATTATCATTATATTCTTTTAGAAATTATCATATGTGATTTAACTATATATGTCTAAATTTACTGGATGTCGACTAAGGACAGGTGTAAATGATGAAAAAAAAATCTTCCAGAAAGATATTATGGTATAGTTTTTTAAAATACATGTTTGTACATATCATGTATTTCAGTGAAAAATAAACTATGTCGTTTTAGTTGTAAAATAAATAGCATTCTACAATTTGAACAATGTAGAATGTATAACATTTGGAATACCCAGGAACGCATTATTCAATAATATAGTATATGTATACATTTTATAAAATAAAAATAAATCGTTTAATAAATTTCGCTCTTTCTCTTAAAATAGCATTTACCAGAAATAGAAAATATATGAGATATTCCTTTAGTTAAAGGCATCATAAAAACATACATTCCCCTCAATTCCAGTAACGAATTCTCCTCTCCTTTTTACCATATAATTTCATTATTGTTATCTGTGTCGAATTAAGCACTTAAATCTCACTTTGTTTCTGATATGACGAATTAACTTTTTGGTAACTGATAATTTTTCCTATAGATATTGCGAAAATTGTTGCAATAACCTTCGCCTGATGATAGCGCTTATATTTGAAAAATCATGTTGCGTGCGTAAACCATACCCGAACAGTATGAGTTATTTGTTTTAAATTAAATGTAATGCCTTGTACAGACAAACAATTAAAACAGACAGTTGGAATAAAATATGCACAGAGTGCGTGTGTGAATTTTACATCAAGGAAAAAGTAATTATTTTTATACGTTGACATGGAAGTCAACGCAGTCTATGTTCTAGAACACTGCAGTGTAATAGTAATTAATATTCATCGAGTAGTATTCACTTGTTGCTTTGTGAAGTTTGTGAAATAAATTACACAGGTAAGGCTTACATGGGTAACATTAATACTATTCAATAGAACAGTATTATTCATAAACATACTATTACTAAAACTCGATACTGAAACTATCAACTAACAGCGTTCGATAATAAATTTTAACATAGTAATGGGCCGAAAATCGAAAATGAAATTTTTTGCATATCTTCACGTTTCAGAGGTTTCTGAACATTTTGGCATACCTCAGAAAAAATGGATGTATGTGTGTGTGTGTGTGTGTTTTGTATGTCCGCATTTTTCGTCCACTTTTCGGGCGTACGGATTAACCCATTTGAATGGTTCAAAAAACATTCGATTTCTTTTGATAGAGAGATGTGCTGATTAGTTTTTGGCGAAGGCAGATCCAGCCGTTACGGGGATACGGAGTAAAGAGTGCCAAAATTGAAAACTAGTTTTTGATTAAAACGGAGCATCCCATTGATTATATTGATCCAAAAAATATTCAATTCGTAATGATTAGGAAAAAGTGGTGATTGATAAGAGCTAAATGTACAATAAATTGTAGTTTTTGAGGGAACTAAGCGATTAAACGATTCAAAAACTTTTGCTTCTGTTGACAAAACAACTGCTTTGGAGGAAAAAATTATTTTAATTTTTTTTTCAAGATAATTTTAAATTTTTACTTGTATATAGTTATAATTCAGATTTTAATTTTAATTCTGGCTAAAGTTCTAAAGCTCACTTATATACTTTAAATAAATGATTTTAAATTTGGAATTCAATTTATATAGTTCTTACGAATATTAAAATAATACAATATTTATAATAATCTATTTGAAAACATTTATCCTCGAACATTTTGTTACTGTACGGGAAGTTCCAGCAATTTGCCTTAAGGCACGATGCCATACACTACTAGTTAATGTGCCAACTGGTAAGATTTTTGATACCAAGTACAAGTACCAAACAGTTTTGCAAGATGGT